CATATAACAGGTATCGTCCAGAATATTATTAAAGATTCTGCGATAGTCAATCAGGACCTACATTACAAGCCTTTGTATCGTAACTCCTTTATGGGTCATGGGGCATAGACATATATATGTCCGTGTTTTATCGTTCATTCATAAGGATTCTGTACACACCAAACCCGCAAATTTGGGACTGATTCTAGAACGACAATTAAACTTAAATCTAGTTATAAGAGCTGTCAGTATGAACTTTGACATTTTTGACAGCACTCAGTCCTAGAGTATAGACCTTAGTTATCGATATTTGCCATAAATTTGATACACTCTGTATTATTTTTATTGTCTTTGTCTAAAGTGACAGTTGTCATCCGAGCTCTATGCTAATAAGTGTTTATGGTATTGACCGCCGAAGGAATGCCGTTGTCCATAGGCACGTCTCAATCATCGGGCAGGCAATAAAGATGGGCTACCACATCATTCTATCATAATGACGGAATGACGCCCACGGACGAATTAATTAACACTAGTATGATACTCAAACGGGTTGGGTGTGGATATAGTGAAGGACGCGAGACGGTCTAAAGATTATTGTTTTAGTAATTCTGGTACAAATATTTTTGCCTATTCTAATACTAATTTTAATTAGACATTTTTTACCGACCATAACAATTATATAAAAATGTTTTAAATCATTTATTTCAAAATTTACTATAAACCTATTTAAAAATATTATTTTTTTCGAGGGTATTTTAAAAAAAAGAACATACCCATTTTTAAAAGGCCAAAGGCATTCGCGAGCCCCTTGGCATTGAGAGTGTCTATGGGCGGTATCATTTAACATCAAATGAGCCAGGTAGCCGTTTGCCCTCTTTTCTATAAAAAAAATTGTATCTACGTAACTCTGTATAATCTCAGTTTAACTTCAGAAACAAACTTACACACTTGTAATGAAATATATCAGCCCTTGCACTAACCTGTTACTCCTTTTTTAGCTCTTACGCTATAAGCTACGCTCATCCCTTTCCTTTACTCTGTAATATTAGTCTAGTATCCGCAACGGAACTATAAAGACAACGACATATTTACGATGTTGGATTAATCCAAAAATGACTCATCCAATTCGATAAGACGACAAGTATTTTTATCTAGACTTATAGATGATTATCTATTTCATATAATGGGAACATAATTGGTTATATTTAACTGGGTTTAATCATAATGGTAATTTAACTAAATTAATATAAGATCCCTATAATCTAAAACTCTGATTTTTATTAAAAAATTGTGTATTGTAAACTATTTTTTATCACCCCTATTCATAAGTCACACTGCAATTTTTATTTTATTAAAAAAATAAATAATTTTATTCCTTATATCTATCTCTATTCCCCCATTAATTATTAGCGAAATTATCTTTGTATGGAAAAACTTTTTCCCGCTCAGCTACATACAAAAATATATTGTTATATTTCGTGCCATTCGAAAGAAACGTCTGGATCGAATAATATATTATTTTACACAGAATCACACAGTAAATTTTTCTATACAAAAAGTGTCAAGGGTTGAAAATTATATTTAATACAAAAATCGGAAATTAATTTCGTAGTAGTATTCCCAGTTTTGACTCATTATATGAAAACTTTTTTGTGGCTTCCATAGACATTGTTTAAGACATTTGCAAGTTCGAATGATATGTTTGAAGATGAATGAAACAAGTATACAGTTACACACGTAAGATGCAAACATTTTACTGCGATTTTTTACGATCACCTTAAAATGACATCATTTGACATCAAATATTTTTGTATGAAATTATTTTGGTACATACGATAACAAGCTTTAACAAAAGGCATTAGGGTATAAAGTCGTGTACATGTTTGGAATAAAATCGAACCTGATTTTAAAGGTAATTGTGCCAGGTGCATTAGTGTAAGGTGAAAAGAATTAACGATTTTTCGATATTTCGACTTTAAATTTGAGAGGTCAAGCAGGTTAAACATAAACTTTTAATGACGCATAACTTTTATTTAATTTGTCAATGGCCGATTGCTTGAGTTGTATTTTTGTTATTTCCAAAGATTTTACATACATTAACGAATGTCAAATACGTTAACTTTTTGCCTTTGGTTATCTGAAAGAATCATATAAAACTATTATTTAATATTTATAATTATATTAAATATTTATAAGGCACGCTGACAAAATACATACAGACAAAATATTACGTTAAACTCAGAATGCTTGTATAATAAATTTGCACGACATATACACAGACATTACTGAGATATAAAACAGACCACAAATTAAAAAAATAAGATGACGAAATTTATTTTTTTATATTTAAAAAAAATTTGAAACCAACCATACAATCTATATGTAAATATTTACACAATAATCACGTAAGTAATCTAAAAAATGACGTCATCCACATTAAAACCCTAAAAACCAGAATACATAGAAATCGATACTTATCATAAATCGTACAAGCCATTACCGTATCAAAATATCTATTTGGTGTAAAAGCATGAATGAACCGAGTTATACAACACAAATACTTTCTTGTGTGCGTCAATTTTTTGTGAATGGTCAACGATATCCGGTCCAGTACAGGTTTCCTTATCACCTCTCGGGCACTGTCTAAACATGCGATATAAAAATGGTGTTTTATTACACTTTACAACTCTCGAGGCCTGAATATTGATACGAAATAATAGGGCTCCGAGGACCAAGTACGACGTAGGTGTCAATGAGCCGTAAGAATTTAGATATTTTAAATTTCGAACCTCAATTTCGAATTTCGAACGAGTCATTCGTTCATATTGATCTTCAATATTGATGTTTGTTAAATGATACCATTTCTATTATATTAATTAATTTACAAGACTAATAATTATTTATGTACTTTACTATCCTTGCTTTATAATTTAAAGATGCAAAAATAGCCTATAGTCGGAATAATAATCTATACTTATTAATAATAATAGTAATATAAGCCTGTCTAAATTCCAACTTTAATAAAATTAGCTTAGATTTGTTATATACCTAGGTACGTTTTGTACTTTTTTTTCTTGGTATCCTATATATGCTATATCCTAACTAACATAAAGTCGATCGGAACCCCTTCACGGGTAAAGGCCTCCTCCTGCTTTTTCCAACTATCTATGTCCATAGATACTTATTCATAGACTACTTATGACTGTACGTATATAGTAGAAAAATTAAGTCCGTATAGAAGCGTGCTAAATCTATTAAAGGAAAATCAATGAATGAATATATAGATTATTCTAGCTTTGCGTTAGTCACTATCGTGCAAATAGCAAAACAAAACACCGCTTGTCTCGCTCGAGAAACAAGAACTTTAACAGCTATTGAAATTTTCACAGACACAAAGCGACATTCAATACCGACGCAATAAAAACCAAGTATAAAGTAAATCAGAATGCCCTTAGTAAAATAAATTTAACGTTAGCACCAAGACAGTGAAACCGAACAAAAAGCACTCACCCTTCAGAGTTAGAACGAAACAGGCTTGCCTTATCAAAATTTAAATTCGGTAAAAAGCGGGGGGACCTCATTTCAATAACCGTTACAGATCCAGTCGCCAGGCGTTCCGTTCCGACTGACTCCCGGTACCCGATGTGATTGATGGCAGACCAAAAACAATGGCCAATTCCCGCAACCCGACCAAAACGCGACTAATAAACGCTTTATTTTATTTGGACTCGAATAACGAGACTCCATAATAAATATCGCAATCGCCTTAGAATCGGGATTATCAGCATCCCAGCTGCTGAATGCACGCTTTTTGTCTTTGATGCCATTAATAGGGAGAAGTGTTCTGTATAAACGGTTAGTTAAATTGCAAATTGGTTTATATAAATATGGATTAGTGCGATCCTGCTGACATTTGGAAAAGTTAATTGCAGACGGCGAAACATATCTTTACCTACGTTACATTTTGGTATAATTCATATTTACTTTTCTACACTAAACTTCAATTTGATACTTAATAATTGTCTAATTGTCTAAGCTGTAATAGCTAGATATAAATATTTGTTATAAGGAAACGGAACATACGTACAGTAGACTTGCCTAGAATCACGTGCAAATACTTAAGAATTAAAGTAGTATGCCTAAAGTATTGGTCCGAAAATACCCCACATTCTTAATTCAAAATTCAAATACATTCCATTCTTTTTTCAAATATGTACTTAACTTTAGCTTCAAAATACTACAGCACTCAGAAGAAGACCCTTGGAAATGTTAATTGCAAATTGCGAAACATATTTTTACGTTACATATTGGTATAATTCATATTTTTTTTCTACGTAAATAGATGTCTGAATATTAAACAACTGTCTAATCGTCTCAGCTGTATTAACTAGATATAAATATTTGTTATTAGGACACGGAACAGACGGGCAGCAGACTCGCCTAGAATCAAATTCAGAATTCAAATACTTCCATTCTTTTTTCAAATATGTACTTTACTATAGCTTTAGCTGTACATTACACTACAGCAAAGTACTGTTCTAACCGTTCATTTAAACCTACTTCACAATTGCATAGCACTAAGTACATTAGTCTTATTACAAGTCAGTACCCATAATTTTTACCCAGTTTATTAAGAAACTGCTATTAAACCCTTCAACCATGTTCTGCAAATGTGTCATCAAGTATACATTGCGCATAGGTAACAATTACAGCCATTTTCCTGTTCACCAGCCAGGGAATGGTGTAAAAAAACTTGTAAGATTTCATGCGTATAATTTTCCCTGCTATGATCGCTCAAGCGTATTATTACGGCCGCATCATACTTGCCACCTCGCGCTAGAATTCTATTTAGCTAATACATATATATAATATTTGATTTAATTAAGAGCGCGTCAACCGATTCTTAACTCTAAGCATGTGTAAACTGTGCATAGTTAGTTAAACCTTTTTTTTAACGCATTCCCTGAAAATCGCCACGGAGATTTGTGGGACTCAAGTGACGTTAGGCATCCCTCTTCTACTTAGAGAGCCAGGTGAGCCTTCCGCATAAGGAGATGAAGGTGCACATGTTTGCATATCATGTCCAAGTAATCCAATCCCAGAGCCGCGACACCTTCCTTTGACGAATCACGACCAAACGCTATCCTTTCGTCTTTTGTTTTATTAAAACCTTCAGATATATTTTCATTTATAGAACAGAAGGCTCTGTTGTTAAGTGACACCCATGGACACTGCGAAAAGGCTCGAATTGCCGGCTTTTTGAGAACTGGAACGCTTTGTTCTTGAAGGACTGTAAGGAATAATTTTGGTAATATTTCTGTTCTGGTTTTTCTTACAGACACACAGTCTTTTGTTAACGCGAGTTCTAAACATTTAAATAATTTTTAAAACGTCAAAAATAAACGTTTCTTTTGCTTTTTGATAAGATTTCGTCCGATTTAAACACAATTTCGACATACAAATAATTCGCATTTCAGCTAAACAATCCTTCCATATAATCAACATTCCTAATATTGGTAAACAATTTCACGATTTAGTTGACCACGAGTCATCACACAGCCCACATATGATTGTTGGGTTAATAAATTAAAGTGACCGCGTCTTGGCGATTTTAATGTAGTACATAATTCTTGTCGTGGTTATTACCTCCCATAATACTAGGCCACAACATAGTTGTTACTTGTTACTAGGGTTTCATCATTTAAGACAATAAAGAGTAGGCAATTTCCTCGTTTATGCCGTTAAAATACGGTGAACCAACCTTGTTAGCGTTAATCAGCATACCTTGTAAGTTGAAATCTCATAAAGTCAGTAAAGGTGATAATAACAACTGCTATTCGTGGCATTGCATAGCGTTTTATCTGCGATTTTGGGTGAAACGTCATTAGATCTTTTTAGTTATCCATGGTACAACAAAATCGACGCTGTAAATACTTTTAACATACATATATAGTAATAATAATTAAACATTGATAAATAGAAATATTAATAAATTTAATGTACACTGTTTTGTGATACTTCTTCTTAGAGAGAGGAAAGCACCAGCTCTGCGGTCACCGGTACTATCTACCAGGCGCCAACTTAAATCTTTAATTAGCGCCTGTGCACTTGAACCCCACGGCCAAATCAAAGTTGGAGCAAAGACTTATAATTCAATAATTTAATGTACTATCTTAAAACAGCTTTTTAAGCGTCACCTATTTGAAATGTCAACATAAAACGAACCGATTGAATACTTAATTAGCACAGATTAGATTAGAAACCATTATAAATTATTAATCGTATTTTTAATTACAATAGCGTTTGTGTGAATCTGAACAAAATCAAAGTTATACGAAAGACTTATATTGTATCCATTTATAATTTTATAATATATACTTACATTCAAATATTGATTACACGTATTTAAAATTTTCATAACCTTAAAAAAAATGCATATTATGGTAACGCTTATAAAATGCCAATAGCTCAAGATAGTTCGCGTCTCTCTCAATATATCAAATCTTTGAATATAGAACATCCACATTCTAAATTTGAATATAATAAAATATGTTCGAAATTCAAATTACGCAAAAACATGTTTGAAAAAGATTAGCATGATACTTTTGTTAATGATGCTGGCAATTAAAATGTTTATGTTAATTTTGACGACAAGTTTCATCAACGCGGCGTGAGACTGGTCAGACACGGTCGTTACTATTTATTATATATTAATCAAAAATATTAGTTATGGCTTGATGAGTATTTTTATGAGCTTCGCATATTAATAAGTTCGTAATTAGTTCGTGTACGGGAACGTAAAAATAACTTTGCGCATATACAATAATGCCAACTTTCCGCCGGACACTAGGTATAGGTATATATGACGTACATACGTAGGTATAGCTACTATGGTAACTATGGTAGAAACAAAATGGTCTACTGGGAGTTTATCATGCATCTATTTAAAACAAAGTATTATTATTAATAAAAATAACAGCTGATGCATTGCAAAACCGATGTTAACGAAAAACTGATTTTGTTTGAGAGTAAATATATTTACAATTTACGGCCATTTTTAAATGACTAAAATGTTTAATATTATCGTAATATAATTGTGAAACAAAATATACTTTATTAACTTTAATATAACATTACATCATATTGTTAAATGTATCTATATATGTGTAATGCCTTCTATGCATTTCTTTTCAACACACAAATATACAGTATTTACAATATTCTTAACCGACATAGTAATAATAATAATTATAAATAAAAAATTAAAACAATTTTAACACGTTTGGTCCCTGTGACATGAATGAAATATGTATATTTTTAATGTATGGAAAGCGTATGTAAAATTGTCGCGTTTTTATTAATAAATTGTCTCTGCACAAAGACATCCTTTAACATAAGAAAGTGTTCGATAACTTTCTCTAGTGCAGTCTATAAGGCAGTGTTTCCCATCGTGGGGCCCACGCAATTGGGCAATTAGATTGTTAAGGGTATTCCAAAACTTATTAAAATTATATGCAATTTGAATTTCAGCTTAACGTTACATGTTTTGAAAATTTACTTACTGTGTTTCAATAACAATTTTCCATTTTTTTTAAAACCTATCATTAAAATTTCTTAGGTGAACAAATAATTTTTTTATATTAAAAATTATCTGAGTAAGGGGTATTTTAGAAAGACTAAGGTGGGGCTTGGCCCAAAAAACGTTGGGAAACTCTGCTCTAAGAGGACATTGTTCTTGTGAGAATTTATTTAAATCCAGTAAATGTCAATATTAAAACTACTCGTATAATTGTTTGGCAAATGCTAGTAGTATTGCTGTTTCCAAAAGAAACAGAATAAATAGCTGATTAAAATAATTGTAACCAATTATATAACATATACTAAAGCTAGTCAAATTATCTGTTATTATAGAATACAAACAAAGATTATTTTTAATTAAAGAAAGAGTTCCGGTATATAATGGTTTGATAATTTTCTTTAGAGCAATTTTGAGGTTATTTTCATAAGTGGAGAGCGATTATGCTTAGACGGTGATAGATTGCCATAATTTTAATACAATTATATCGTTTGTAATAATTGTGATTTCCTACTGATGTGTGATACGAAATTAATGTTATTTAGTATATGAATAAAATTCTTGGTATTTCATATATCTTACTTGTGTGTACACTGCACAGCTAGGATATCGAATAACAAAATAAAAATAATGTAATAAATCTAAGCTGTATATATAATTTTTTTGTCATGATTGGACATTAAACGGACTTTATTATTATTATTACTTGTGTGTACAGCAATCCCGATAAACCCGGTACCCTTATAACGCAGTTTTCCTCTCTATAACGCGTTTCTTTATAACGCTATTTATATCCACCATATAACGCAGTTTTCCTCTCTATAACGCGCTTTTTTATATGATGATTTACATCCCCCATATAACTCGGTATTTCCACCCAATAACGTGGATATTTCTTAAGTAACCTATAATGTGAAATTTATAATGATTTGTCAAGTCAATTATTAGTTTAGCGTACCTTTGCACCTGTTTTAATGTTATAAAATTAAACTAAAAAACTTCATTAAATTCGTGTTCCAAGTTTTTGAATAACCTAACCAATTATTTTGACTATGAGTCGATTTTCATCGAAGTAACATCTCATTATTTAAACAGCTAAGCCCATGACACTCCATTCTCACCTAACACACAACAGGCAATCACACTTCTGTATTAAATACATATTTAATTGAAAAAAGAGATACATAGTTTATTAGTTACAAAATCCACACCATTATTTGAACCTAAACAAAAAATAATCACGTCCGCAGTTCATTAAAACGGAAAAATGTAAATAGAATTAATTCATTATTTAATCAAGCAATTTGGGTACGGTTGAAGTCGTTTGAACAAAGGACTGGGAACTTCGTTTGGGAACAATTTGATTGTTCTATATTGAATTTTACGTTAATATTCTTTCACAGAGTAGGAACGTATGACACTATTGATTGCTTTCTACTTTTTTATATTTATTTTATATCGGAGCCAACGGGTAGGAGGTTCATCTGAAGTTAGTAATGAAGTAGAAGGAAGTAATAAAAACTATAGCAAATGTGTATAGCAAAAACATAGTATATAAACTCTACTTGTCATGTGTATTTTTTATATTTTCCTGATCACTGTTTAAATATGTTTTTATTGCTCCATTATTTTTGTCTTAATAACTATATGTCTAACTTATTTTTGCACTTCTTGCTTAGCTTATCTAGTTTTTTTTTCTCACAGGGGTTGCCTGGAAGAGATCGCTCGAAAGCGATAAGGCTGCCAGTTGCCCTCCGTTTCATTTAATTATGTCAATTATATTATATTTATATATGCAACGAAGTGTTAATAAATAAATACTTTAGGTGTAATTATTGTAAATTATAATTTAATTACGTAAACCTCCATTTAATTATCATCATAATTTTGATTTTTCACGTGAGATTTTTTTCCTTATGTAACTGGGCAAACGGGCAGGACGCTCATCTAATGTTAAGTGATACCGCCCATAGACACTCATATTGCCAGAGGGCTCGCAAAAGCGTTGCTGGTGTTTTAAGTATTGGTACTTGGTACGTAAGTTGGGCAAATCAATGATTTAAAATTATCTACTACATCAAGACTTCTGCGATTAATCTATTGTTGTTTCTAATCTATGTTTTATAATTGATAGGGTTCCTATATATCTATAATCAACACATTACTAAATAATGATCATTGCAAGACGGTTATAAAGCTTGCGAAGTATTTTATAATATAGAAAATGTGTTCTGTCAGTACATTTTGATGTCATCAGTAAATGATGACAATTGACAACCGTGTTTTGTTTTTCTTTTTTCAATTGTTTTACACTAACTTGTTTCATAAAACCAGTCTCATTACAGTAATGTCAGCTGTCTCTTTTAAACCCAGCGTAAACAATTTGACGGAAAGAGACGAAAGTGTAGGAAGTTTTAAAAGTAAGCTGTGCTATAATTGTGACACATCTACATAGTCGTAGCAAAACTGCCATCCGGAAACGGGACAGCCTCCGAGAATGAGACAGATCGTGCGAAAGAGACACAAGAGCGCAACAGGTGGCCGTTTGGAGCAATTAAAAGCGGGTTTTAATTAGTAGGGGAAGTCGATTATTAGCGAATCCCGCTTTAAGGCTTTAGAATAACCACTCGAAATTAGGGGAACGATTTCCCTGTTATTTACGTTTGTTTTACTATGAATTTTCCTTTGATTTGACATGGATATTTTGTTAAGTGATTTTCATCAACACATTTTATAGTAATTAATGACTTTTAAACTTTGAATTAATATTCCGATCATAACCCTTTTTTTTTTTTTTATATCCGAGGTGGAAATGCATTTGCGCATCCCCTGAACAGGGGTATGTGGGACTCGACCCACGCCAAAATCTCTGCTATTCAGAGACTGGGTGAGCAATACCTACTAAAACCACCTCGAGTAGTTCCGACAAAGCCGCGTTACAGAGGCTCCGGGGTCGCTGTCGCATTCCACCGGGATCTCCGATCATAAACCTAGTCCTATTTTATTATACCTATTGGTACTGAAGCGGCTTCAGCGTGCAACTCTCTGTGATCGTAGGTTTGACCCCGGCTGTGCACCAATGGACTTTCTTTCTA